CCTCTCTGGACAGGTCGCCTGTCTATCACAGGGCAGGGACATGCAGCCATGCACACACACCCTCACTAACAAGGGGCCTTTTGTTCCTAATGCTACGTTCACACCAAACATGATTTCAGCAGCAAAAAAGCGCCTGCTGCTTTACTTTTTACGCTTGTCCACATTAAGGTCAGATGCGCCTCAAGAGCATCTTTAATACTCCTGAAGCGCGCTCAGTAAAGTGAGTCCAGATGCGTCTGATGTTTCTGCTGCAACTGTGTTCAATGCCAGAGAGCAGCTTTGCTATGTTTGCTGTGATCAGCGGGTAAAAAGTAGTCTAAATATATATTTTTAAGTGAGAACCTGAAAACATGGTCTGTGCAGTCAGTTCATCCAGATCACCATCCTGCCTTCAAATATTATTTGTAGCCGCTCAGACCCCCACATACCGGCGGTACGCTGTCACTGGGAATCCCCAGCAGCAGCTGCCTCAGGCCCGCTCGCCTCTTCAGGGTTTTCTGCTACTGTTCAGGGCGGCTGGAAGTAGATGTTAGCGTTTTTTCATGTACGTAATCCAAACTGCAGGCACCAGGATGATAAAATCAAACATATTTTGCCGGCAGGTTTCAACATGTTAAGTTAATTTAGGCGTTAAGTTAATTTAGGCGTTAAGAAACTGATTCAGAGGAGTGATCATAGCGCTCTGCATCAGCAGTGCTGTGTCTGACTCCCTGCCAGCTCCCAGATCAGCTTCTCTGATTGGTTGATTAAAGTTAAATTTTTCCAACTCCAGCAGCTGCTGCTAGTGAAGCGTGTCACACGCCTCAGAAGCTCATGAGGCGCTGCTTCAGATCCTCCAAACATGCTGCAGGACCTTTTGATGCATATCAACCTTTGACTTTGCATAGAAAGCTTCTGTTTCTTGATTTGCTTCCAGTGTAAACGTAGCATAACGGTCGTGTTTTTTGGAATGTGGGAGGGAGCTGGAGTTCCCAGAGAGAACGCACACACGCTAGGAACATGCAGAGGAACATGCAGATTTCTAAACTTTGTAAATGGAAATTTGAAAAGTAACATTTGAGAGCTTCTTAATTCAAAAAGGTTTTTAGAGTTTCTGTTTTCTCTGATTTTATACAAAAAAATATTTTTTCTTTCATATTTTTACATTAGTTTTAATTTTTTTATTTAATACTTTTTTCTAATTAATTTTTTCAGATTTTATTTTTCAGAGTTTTATGAATTGGCTTTTTTTTGTCCAGATTTATTCTACAGACTCCATATTCTTTATCTCTGGGAGCGGGCTTTCCTCTGGAGGGAGGAGCAAAGATGCATTTCTATTGGTCTGCATTGGTTCTACTGTAGCAACAAGATGTTTGTTTGTTGGTTGAAGCTGTAAAACACAATCAATGCATTTTGTTAAACTAAAGCTGAAAAAGAGAAATTAAAAGAAATTAAATCTTAAGAAAAATGTTGAAAAAGGCTTGGAAATAAAACGATAAAAAATAAATCATAAAAAACAAGTTACTCTTAAAACCTACTTTTGATTAAGAAGTTTTTTAATGTTTAATTTTAGGATTTAAACACAACAGTGGAAAAAAAAACTGACTCCATAACAAACCATTCCATGAGAAACCAATGACACCAAAATGTTTCTGCAGGGTAGATGTTTGAAGCTCCTTAAATAGTTTAAATCTGTTTATGGTTATTGAAAAAAAAGCTTGTTTTTTCCAATTAATTATAAGGTTCTTGTTGAGTTTCTTCTCTCTGTTCTGATGCTTCTGGTTTGAACGTGGCTCAAGGGATGATGATGATGATGATGATGATGATGATGATGATGATGATGATGATGTTTGCTGTTACAGAAAAGAGCTGCTGCAGTGTGGTGCTCTCAACCCAGAAAGGGACCTCTACCTGAGCAAGCTGGCTCTCACCAAATTCCCCAAAAGCCCTGAGACGTGGATCCACAGGTGGGCCTTTAGTGGAACAGGGCGGTGCTGTATGACATCAAGGGTTTAGTAACCAGTGGGAAACAGGGAATTATCAATTCTGGGAATGTACCAAACAAAGATGGCGTCTTTTAAACCAAATGGGGCAGAGAGGACTCCCAACGTTCCCAGCACTGTTTGGAAACTACCTGAGTGAAGTTGGCCCCCCCACCTCCTTCAAATCAGACAAAATTAATGTCAAACGTTTGTGCTCGTTTGTGCAGCAAAAATTTTCATTTGTGCCGCTATTGTTTTAAAGATATAAAGAAATA